GAAAGAAAGTGTTGTGTAATGTACTGACTCACACTTTTAGCAGCTGAAAAATTGGCCCATTAAAAATATTTTGAGGAGCTTTTTGCACATACAAAATAGAGAGAATAAAATGAAAAACATGGGTATGACTATATGTTTTATATATAAAGTATATATAAAATTAATCTTAAGGCTGGGAAAAAAATTTTCTGGGCCTCCTGAAAGAAAATAAGACTATATTGAACAAATTCACGGCTGAACAACCTTTTGCAGTTCAAAGGCTGCACTTATTCTTTAAATGTCCCAAAGGTGATTTTTCAAAAGGCAACTGGACTTTCTTTGTTTTTCCTTGAAGATGTTTTGCTTCACATCCAAGAAATTTATTCAGTTCTGATTGAATGGTGGAGAATGGAAGTATTTATATTCTTTACAGTCATATGGTTGTTAACACTTTTTTTTAGAGTTGTTGAGGCCACTTGGAGGCTTATCTGTGCCCCCAGGGTCATCTGAATACCACAAATCACAAATTGAAGTGCGCCAGGCTTCAAGTTGCCAAGGTTGGAAACCCCTGTCCTAGAATATAAGTGGTGAGAACAGAAAATTTTCCAAGTTGCTATCCAAAAATAGGAGACGGTCTGAAGAACAGAGGTTTTTGGGAGCAAAGATTTGAGTTTCAAGCCTTTCACTCTACAGGCTTACCATTCTCTACAGATAATTGAGTATTTCTAAATGAAATCATCAAATTCAAATTAAAGTACAATTTGCTTGCAACTGATGACTGAAGACCAATGTTACAAGAGATAAATTATAGAAACAGAGTGAAAGAAACTATTTCAATAGGCCCGTGACTTCAGTACCTGAACTATATTGTACAATTCTACTAAACACCTTGGTTATCTCTCCCTGTCTTCTTATATGACCCATTTGACAAAAGAGATTATTTAATTTAACCCTGAAATACTAATGGGAATTTCTTGATGAGCTTCAGGGGTCATCGTTTCATTAAACTACCACCCGTATTTAATATCGTGGGTAGAATAGAAGCAAGTTGCCTTAGGATATATCTGTCTAGTGCTTTTAGAATTACACTAATTGTATTGCATTGTGGAAGCAGAGCAAATATGCTGGTATTGTTCATACATCTTTGCTGTTATTATTCCCCAAATATGAGAATGCAAAATATAGTTTTGTGAGTGAGAGATAAAAATAAATGAATAGATCGGAGGGAGCAAGGTAGTTAAGAAAAGCAACAAGAGATCATATGGGAAGATATTTTGTAGTGGATAAATGGATGGATAGATAGACAGATAGATGGATGGAGTGATTGAATAGGGCATTCAATTCATTTTAGTGATGAATATGTGTTTGATATAGTAGTTTGCCCCCAGATACAATAAATACCTTGTCTTTTCTTGCTTCTTCAGTGAACATCAGGAGCAAGAGACTTACAATCAATGACACGGCACTGATGAAAAAGCAGCATGACCAGGGAAATTGGCATTGCACTTATCAATCCTTCTCCTAATAAAAAGACCCAACTAAAAAGGGCTCTGGTGCAACAAAGCAAGAAAGTGTGATAGGAAAAGCAATAAAGAAAGCGGGGGACCATGACAGATCAATTTACTATGCTTTTTCTTTGAAATTCAGCAGTTCGGTCAGAGCAGTTGGTAGCTTTCACTGTAGATCGCTGACTAGTTGCCCAATAGTGTCCATAGGACATCCAAGTGGAAAATTTATCTTTACCCTAACATAACAGTTCATCAGACCCATGAAAAATCTGGATCTCCAACCAGGGACATACTAGCTATTGATAGATAGCCTACAATAAGTAACAATTATGTTCTGTCTTTCTGGCAGAGATGTGTTGGTACATTAGCAGAAAGTGCTCTTATTTTTTTCATATTCATTCAGTAATTTGCTAACCCACTTGTGGTGGGTTAGCATTTGTGGAGTAATTATTTGTCATATCAATAGGCTTAATTATAAGATTGCCCTCTTTAACTATTAAAGATATAATGATCCAGCTGCTCTCTTTTCCACCATGTCTAAATCAGAGTAGTCTCTGGCTTCATGGTGCTTGGCTAGATAGCATACTAGCCTGCAATTTTAATTTAATCTAGATAAGCCTTTCCCAATTTTACCCTGTGTTTGTAAGGAAACATAATTCAAGGATACTGTGTCAGAGTTTGTTGCAAAAATCAAATCCAGAAAGCACACACAAGCAGACTGATGCAGCAGGATTCATTGACTTCTTTATATACATAATAATACATGAAGTAAATTTACAATACCAATATAGATTCTTCTTATCTGGTAGCAGTTACAAGCAAGAGGAGAGAACAGTTCTTAGTTTCAGTTTCTCTGCACAGACTCAGAAGCTGCAGACTAAGACATGCCCTGGCTCCAGCGTGCTTCAGCTCCCAGCAGCCCTCATTGGCTGACTTAGTTGCTATGCCTATTCATTGGCTGATCTATTCCAATTTATGAATATTCATACTCTGACATACTATATTGGGGTGGCTTCATTTGTATTGGTGGTGCGATGGCTCAACTGTTAAAGATGCTGAACTTGTCAGCTGGAAAGCTGACAGCCCAGGTTCGAGACCTGAGCGTTGCACGATGGGCTGAGCTCCTGTTACTTGCTCCCGTTTCTGCCCGCCTAGCAATTTAAAAGCATGCAAATGCAAGTAGATAAATAGGTGCCACTTTGGTGGGAAGGTAACAGCATTCTGTGTGGTCTTGGTATATAGTCTTGCTGGCCACATGCCCACAGAAATGTCTTTGGACGATCCTGGCTCGCTCAGATAAGAAACAGAGATGAGTACCGCCCCCTAAAGTTGATCACAAGTGGACAAGGGAAATGTTTACCTTTACTTTTACCTTGATTCGCATATTCAGTGTACTTATATCTTAAAATGGTCAAAGCAGTGTACGTAGGCATGTCCCAGCAAGAACCAAATGAGATAGTGTAGGAGAAGAGGACGCAGAGTTGAAGGGGCAGAGTTAAGTACATCATCAACCTGGAGTTAAACCGTCTTGAATTCTAATGACCCTTACCTAGCGCCAATTTAGTATTGGACTTTAGTTAACTAGATTCTTTGTATAGGGATGAGTAATAAATCTTCTGAATTGCAACTCAATGTATGATCCTGATTCTTTGTGTCTGATAGATTGATATGACAGTAAAGAATATGGCCAAGTTACCCAACAAGATCTGTGGTCAGATGAAGGCTTGAATTTTTTATTTATATCATACCTTTATTATTGTTTCAAATAACTCAAGGCAATGAATATATCCAACACACCTTTCTCCTTCTATTTTTACCCAGAAACAACAATCTTGTGAGGTGGATGGGGATGACAGAGACTGACTGGCTCAGGTCACTCAGCTAGATTCAGGGCTAAGGTGGGACCAGAACTCATTGTCTCCTGTTTCTAGTTTGATGTCTTAACCACTAGACCAAACTGGATCTCTATAACTATAGTCTTCTCAATGTAGGCTCAAATTAGGATAGCTATCTTGCTATCTTAGATGTGCCCTTATGTTTTATCTACATTTGAAAATTAGATGGATGCTCTGTGCAAGGCATATTTTTTTCATCTACTTTCACCTTTACAAAAACATGATTTGTTGTAACGTTTCAGTGCTTGTCTACTGGATCTAGGTTACTGTTCATCAGTGACAATACCCCACACATACACAAACACAAAAACATTTTTTTTTACTTGCCCTCTTAAAAGTCACCCTCTATTTTTGCCTGGCTGCAGTTTCATTAATATGAGCTGTCAGTTTTCCAAGTTCATTCCAGTCCTCAGGGCTGGCAGATGTTCACACATATGCATTTATTTATTAAATATATACCCTGCCTTTAATTAAGGAGTTCAAAGTGGCATACAAAGTGTTTCTTCCTGTTTTTTCCCCACAACAAGGTAGGTTGAGAGGGAATGCCCAGTTCACCCAGTGAGCTTCTGTGAATGATGGTGGACTAGAACATCTTAACAAATATACCAGACTGACTACAACGTTGAGCTTCCTATGTAAGGGGTAGCTATAAGCCCCTAGCACTATGTCAAATTGTCCATAATATCCTAGAATGGGGAGGCAACATTTTGTCTCCTGTTTTTTTTGAGAAGGTGCAAGAATGAATATAAATATATCTTTTAAAAAAACCATCACTCTATTATGCTGACATTTTTTTCACCTTGGAATGTGATCTACATCCATTCCACTACGCTCAAAATGGTCCAAAAGTATTGCTTCTGCTCTTTCAGGAAATATAACATCACTTAAAAAAAAAAAAAAGACCAGTGGACAGAGACCATTGGTGTGCTCTAATTCATGCATGTGTATGTTTGTCTGCATGAGCTTTAAACCTCAGCAACATGAATGACTTTGAGGAGCAACAAATTTGTGGCTGATAGACTCAGAGGATGTGAACAGTTACTATAAAAGGGAATTATCCTAAACATGGAGGATGTCCATTGATATCAATTGGAAGAGGAGATGCTATTGTGTTCAGTGACCTACTTGTAGTTTTCTCTTATGATTCTTCTTACATATTCATTGCACATATAGTAAATATTCTGAGGCATATTTTAAACTGATTGCAAAAAAGATGGTTTTCTTTTCCAATTACAGCTTGAATTCACATCTCTCATTGGTCTTTAAATTAAATTACATGATAGAACTCAACCAACTTCTCCATTAATTAGACTTAAGTAATAGCCTCAAGTAGTAGATTTCATCACCAATCAGAGACAGCACATTGTTAATTAGACAGTTTGTCGTTATTTTATTTTCACTGCTAGAGAGCAAGAACGTGGTTTGTGAGATTTTGAGTCTCACACCCCCAAATGATTTGACTGTCCTCAGTTGCTCTCTGCTTTGATTTGGGTAAGGTCATGTAAAATTGGGTGACTTGGCCATGACTTCCCAGGTTCAAGAACAATAAATGCATTATAAAATAATTATAGAATTGCCAGCAATACACTGGGTTGCAATATGTACTTTAACAGGATTATGAATGATCCATTTTATTCTCTTCTCATTTTATTTGTAAACTATTTCCAAAGGAAATACAGCTCTCCCTTATGATTGCGCCCATTATCCCTTACTCTTCCAGGTGCATACAGTTCATCTTCCTAAGCTTCAAGTCATCTGCATGGAGACAGAATGAAGAAAATTGTCTTAAATTGAATTAGAAATACTTAAGTAACTTGAATGGACCACCCTATTGTTGGACATGATGATTCCAACTATAAAACGAGATTAATTCAGATGAGCCACAAATAAACACCAGGCACTTTTTCTGATTTACAATGCATTTGTACTATAATTTGCGTGCTTTCCATGTGTTGCAGGGGGACATCTGCCAGCATATGTAGCTACATCTAATTATCAAGGACATATTGTTTCCATAGTTTCCAGAGACATTTGATACAGCTAGAAAGCTGACACTGTCATGCCCCCAAATATTTAAAACAAAATATTCCCAGATTTTTGGTTCACTTTTTAATGAATTCTTTTCCTTAAAGACACCTTTTAAAAAACATATTTCCTCTACAATATGGACTTTTATTTAGTTAAACAACTGCAGTGTAGTTTATCATGTAAAAAGGGCTAGATAACTTTAGAATCCATCACCTTTCTACAAATCTAGTTTTATTCAAATTTGCAGAGGAACATTAACTTTTATTTATCAAAAATAAGTAATCTATGACTGCGAAATCTTTAAGGAAGAATCTACAGAAGTGAAAATATTAGCAGTAAGAAGCAGACTCTTCTGATCAGAGTAAAACAGGTTTTCCTGATCCTTTAGCTCAGGATGTGAAACACATTTGTACTTCCTTTTTGCTAAACAGGGCTGAGCATTGCTCATATTGTAGCATACCAGGCAGAATGACACCAATATAAATCACAATTATTAATGAGCTGGGCATTTTTCCTGAGATGCAGTTGCTGTTGTTTGGTGTGAATGTTAATTAGTCCATTTAACACCTTCCTCAACAAAATGAATGACTCAAGCAGCAACACACAGGCGCAGTTGTCTGCCAAAGCATATGTCATGTGCTGAAATAAAAATAAATGGAGACTTCATCAAGATGTATATGCATATATATATATCTCCTTTAAATTTCAATTGTTTGGCTAATGTCCTGCTCTCATTTTCAAAAAAGAGTAGTTGTATGACAGTTTTTAAGATCCTGTATTTGTAAATTGCTATCATGTTGGTATTCCTTCCCTGTAACAATACCAAACACGATGAAACATTTTAAGCTTTGGTTATGGTTTCAGGACTTTTATGTTTTATTTTTTAAAAAAATCAATTTTAGAATTGTAAGCTGTTCAGAGTCACTTGGCTAAATTTATATAAATTGATTGATTGAATGATAGATTGATTAATTGACTGAATATGTTGAGTTACAGGCTTGAAATATATAGCTGGAGATGTAACTCTCTTATCTTTATCTCTCTGCCATGTTTATCTATATATTCCCATTGCCCAGTTTGCCCATTTTTTCACATGTTAGTATGTATAATATTCATGTGAATGGTTGAAAACTGTTTTTCTGCAGTGCCATTCCTTCTGCCATATAGTCTTTCTCAGTGAGCACCATCTGGTCCCTTAAAAATCTTTCTATTTGGAACTGGGAAAAATAGGGCCTTCTTATTTTGAGCCAAGAGATACACAAAAATTAATAAAGTTCTAAAAGAGAATCAAAGGTAAAGGTTTCCCTTGTCCAGGTGTGCCCAACTCAAGGGCATAGTGCTCATCTCCGTTTCTTGGCCAGGGGAGCCAGCGTTGTCCAAAGACTTTTTCATGTGGCCAGCATTACTATACGTTGAGGCTCATGGAATGCTGTTATCTTGCCACCAAAGTGGTACCTATTAATCTACTTGAATTTGCATGTTTTTGAACTATTAGATGGGCAGGAGCTGGGACAAGGAACGGGAGTTCACCCCGTTGTGATTAGCATCATTAAAAACAACAACAAAGAAGCGTATAGCTCTCTTCAAAGTGGAAAACCCTGGCCATACGTATGCATGTAATTGTAATGCAACTCCTCCCATCTTGAATCATGTTTGTACCTACTATACTATGGCTCTACACAAAGATAAGTGTTAACTCCAGCCATCAAAATGATGGTCATCCTTGGTTTACTCTGTGATATGGTGTTACACAGGTTAGTCTTCTTTAGTTGGAGATTCTCCAAATGTGTTTCACAACTACTGTCATGGTCATAGTGATTGAGAACCATGGAAACAGTAATCCAACACCTCTAAAGAATCACAAATTCAGGAAGGCTGATATAGAGGAATCATCCTGAGTACTTTGTCAAGTTAAATTTGACAAATTGCCAGTACTTCAAAGAGACCCTCTGAAGTGTCTCTTAGACTGCAATCCTCTGATCATCCACTATGATGTACATTCTGTTAGGTTAATTTGTTTGGGTGAAAAGATTATAGAGATATAACATTATTGTTGTTTTTTTCACTGTCCTCAGGAACTCTTTAGTGTTTGAAAAATGCATTCCATTTCCATGCACAGATATTATTATGGTTGGTCGCACGGTTAGCCAGTTGTTTAGACTGAATTTATTATTCTGGTTCATCACACAGTCAACCAGATGTTTAGACATTTTTATCTATCTATCAAGTCTTTCCCAAGGACCTGGGATAGTTCTTTGATGATATTAAAGATCCCATTGCAAGATGTAAACCATTCCAAGGAAAGCTGCCTTTTGCAATTGACTGATGATAATTTTGTCAATGCTGATGTTGCTCAAATGTTTCTTTAGATGTTTTGGAATTATATCCAAGGCACCTATCTCTCTTTAGTACTATCTTTGCTTTCTTTTACCACAGTTATTCTACTTCTATTTGCAGGCCTTTGTATTTTGTGATTTTCTCAATTTCTTTCTCTTCTGTTTTGATGTCTCCACATACTGTATTGTCCACTGTCCAGCCTTTTTTATCTTTGTTATCAACAATTGCTAAGTCTGGGGTGTTACATGGCAGGTACTTGTCTGTTTGAATTTTAAAATCCCAGAGTACTGTAGCTTCTTCATTTTCTATCACTTTGTCTGTTCTGCAGTCTAGTTCTTGCTTGCAGGCAAATGGTATTTCTTGCAGATATTTAAGTGCACCTGACTATTGTTGTTTCCTTTATTATTCTTACTTTTTATATGCAGTCTTATTCCCAGTGACTCATACATTTTTAAAAGCACAAATATACACATTTTGGCCTCTTCATATTTATTTATAACTCCAGAACACAAGAAAGGACTGAGTTACTGTAATACCATGATGGCGAACCTGTGGCACGCGTGCCAGAGGTGGCACGCAGACCCTTCTCTGCAGGCATGTGTGCCATCACCAGCTGCTCTTCTGGTTTCTGGCACATGCATGCGCACCAGCCACCTGGTTTTCGGGTTGCCAGCGTGCTGGTGTGCACTAAGACCAGCTGGCTGGTGTGCATGCCGGAAACCTGAAGACCATGTGTGCATGTGAGTGGTGCATGTGCACGGTGGCCAGCTGGTCTTCGGGTTTTCGGCACTCCGGTGTGCATACACGCAGGTATGTTTCGGTTTGGACACTCGGTGCCAAAAAGGTTCACCATGACTGCTCTAATACATTGTAAGAACATAAGTGGAGGAACAACATACTGAGATGAAAAGTGCTCTGTTTCTCTGATTGAAATAGTAAGCTTTAAGAAAAGGCTCTCCAAAAATCCCTTTGAGATGTGCAAGACTTTGAAATAAAACTGAGAGGAATGAGGCCTTTCTGCCTATGAATAATTATCCCATTTACACATCTTTCTAACAAATCATCACACTTGGCCCCAGAGGAAAGTTTCTTCCTTGAATGAATTTTATCACATTTGATTAATTTCTTGGAGAATCATGGCATGACAGTGTGTCATTCTCACTGCGTGGTATTTTTTTTTTTTAGTTAGCTCATCTTTCCATTTACTAATCTCATTTAGATACACTGGAGGGATTTTGTACTCAGTCCTCCTCTTGGGCTGTTACCCTTGACCATTTCAAGAGGTTTTTTTAGCTGTGCCTTTTGGTAAGGCAGAGGCAAGTTTAACTTTTTAATCTTGTGAAACCAAACTCTATTTGCACCAGTGACACAAGGGACAAATAAGAGAATGAAATACGTATCTGGTTTTGAATGCTATGAAGAGGTAGAAATTGATATTTAACTGACTATATTTATATTTTATTGCCAAGAAGAGTGAAAGGTATTTATGTATTTTTCAACTACAGTTGCCATAACCATTTTATTGATCATTAATACAATACACATAGACTTTTGGCTGGGGCTTTAGTTTTTTGGGGGGGTTTTTTTGCTTGCTCTGCCATAGCATCAAAGCGATTTTAACTAAATGTACTTCTGTAGATATACAACTTTACATCTGTATATCTAGGTCTGAATCTGTATATCTGGGTCTAGTTTGAACTGGTTCTTATTTAGAACACAGAATAACAGTCCAACCCCCTGTTCAAACAGGAGACCCTATACCATTTCCAGTCTCTTCTGGAAGTCTTCAGTGATGGGACATCCACAGCCTATGATGGCAAGCTATTCTACTGGTTGATTGTTCTCACTGTTAGGAAATTTCTCCGTAATTCTAAGTTGCTTCTGTCCTTGATTAGTTTTCATCTATTATTTTTTGTCTTGTCTTCTGGTGCTTTAGAAAATAGTTTGACCCCCTTCATCTTTGTGGGTAATGGTAATAGATGGAAGTCCAGATTTGGGACTTGGAAGTTGACCTTGGACTTCATTGAATGACTTGTGTCAGTCATTCTCCCTTAGCCCAATTTTTCTCATAAAAATGTGGGATGAATTGAGAGGATACATCGATATGTGTTGTTTTCAGTGGTCAGAGAAAAGATTGAGATATTAACACAGTTAGTAGTAATAAATAATAAAGTGGCTTCACTCTTACACTTCTTTGAATATTCTTAACAGGTAGTGTTACCTCATTGACTCTGCATACACCATCTTTGTACTTCTATGTTGTCTTGTAGAGGGCTCTGTGCCTTGTGTTGCATTATTCCTTGATATCTGCAGTTCTTCTCTCCTTTTTGTTTATTTGGAAAAAGGGAACAGCCATAATAAGTTCTAAGTCAGAATCAAACATTCTTGTGTTTAATAAGTACCTTATAAATATGATTTACTTGAGGTTTTTCCAGAAAGAATCAAATCCTTTTCTGCAATAAATACATGCCCTGTTGCAGTGTATTGTACATATTGCATATTGATACATTAGCTGATATATGCATGTTTTCTTTTTCTTTTTTAATATATTTAAAAAATATATACATCAATATCAATACATGAACAGTGGGGCATCTGGGTATCATTCACTTGAATACAATTAGTAATGATAGTATTAATATTATTTGTTATTTAAATCATACTTTTATGTAATTATAATATTCTTATACATATTTGTATTAAAATATAAACCTTCATTATTTAATTGTTCCACATTTTAGTCCCCCATTCTAATAACAATAAGAATATCAGTAGAATGTACATAGTATCACCATCTTTCAACATCTAATCTTTATATCTAGCTATTATTTTTAATATATTATATTAAAAAATGCATAATAATATTTCCCCTATTTCTTGTGTCTGCCTCTATTCTAGCTCCTAATAAAGCCAATCTTATGTTACAAAACATTTCCTCTAGCCGTCATCTCTTGTCCATTTTAATATTTCAATTCTTATTCATTTTTTAACTTGCCTCCCACATTCCTTCCTTGGGTCTTCTTCTATATCTACGTCTTTCCTGTTTAATTTAAATATTTCTTCCAACTCTACTATCTTTTGTTGCCAAACCTCCAGAGGATCTGCCCAACTCTCCATTTTCTTTTCAAAGATATCTTTCTGTTTATCTAGGATCATTTGTTAGCACGTATTTTCCCTGAATTGCTTCATAAGTTTTTATTACCTTCTCCCTTTTCTTGTTTTGTTTGTTTATTTAGTTCTGTCTTTTCCCCTGGTCTCTCCATTGTCTCCTCTATTTCCTGGGCTTTTTTATCATTATTCATTATCTCTTGTGGAGCACTTTCTAACTTCCCATTTATGTTATTCATTAAGTCCATTATCTCTCTGTAATTCCTTGTCATGGTATCCTGAATGCTTTGAAACATTGCCACCAATTCTTTTTGCAACCCACTTATTTCCCCCTGCTGAAACATCTTGCCTTCTTTTTTGATAAATCCAAATATCGTTCAGTAATCTGTCAATGTTCTATCACTGCCCCAGAGTCTCAATTATTTTTGCCCTCAGAAAGTCGACCTGGAAACCATTCACTCAGTCCTGGTATTGCTCCTCCAGAAATACAGTAATATGGTTCTATATGTCCCATAGTTAGTCAGTTTGGCTCTTTTTAGATAATCCAGGAAAATTTCTAAATGTCTCTTTAAGTCCCCACTATAAGTTCAATCATAACTCCTGATATTTAAAAATCACTTTACTTTGATGTCTTCTATATTTTCAACGTTAGAGCTCCAGTAGTCATGGAATAAATAAGTATAAAGCAATGGGTAGCACAGCAGACCTCCAGGCGTTTTCTTCTTAATATCTTTTTCTTTTCTTTCGGGTCTATAATTTTTCCCTCTGTAATTGTTTGCTGCTTAAACAAACTTTTCAAAGCCCTTTTCCAGAGTTTATTTTCTTTAGGGTAGGTTTCAAGTAGAAAAAAAAAATCACTTCACCCAATTCCAGTTACTGTTCACACACCGCTCCAGCACAGTCTTTGTTTCTTCGGCTGCCCCACTTTACGGCAGCCATAATGGCTGCCTCTCCTCTTCGTCGTTGGATGAGAGGGAATTAGCCCTGGATCAAGCAGGAGAGCCGCCGCTCTTGGTGACCTGCAAGGAACGCCTCCACTCTTCATCACCCCTACAGGGTGACTTTAGCCCCTTATGGGGCCCTCCAATGAAGGGATTCAACACAAGTTTGCGGAGCCCTGCTTTTTGCATCCGATAGTGCCACAACATCAACTGGAGGTCTGATATATGCATGTATTCATGGATGGAAAGATTCCAGTTCAGACATACTTGTATGTTAGTCCTAAACAGGATTTAAAAAAAAACAAATCATATCCAGCAATGTGGTTATTTCTGCTACCAGTTCCATCTATTTTACAGTTGTGAGACCTTCAGCACTATTTTATGCTGCAGATTGGTGGTAAAATATCTTTATGAGCTTAGAGGAAAAATTACAGTTGCAATGTGTATTTGGTTATTCTTAGAAATGCAATAAATGATAGAACGTTTCGCCCAGAAAGGCTGTATTCATATACACAGTGATATATTTCAACAGCTTATATTATCAATGGCACTAGGTTTCATGACAGATCCACAATTTAGCTTAAGCTATTGGTCTCCTGTGCTGCTTCTGCGTGTTTCTAAAGGCAGCATTCAAAATTCAAGTTTGGATTGCAGTGGATTGGTGGTGGTGGCATTCTGTCCATATTGTGACCACAGAAGATCCTGATTGGACATTCTCCTGCTTCTTACTCTTCCCATCTGTTGAGGGTCCCTTGTGTGGCCAATCAAGCAATGTCTGACTTTCCTTTCTAAGAATTGGTTCCTCTTTATTAGCACCTGTTCTTTATCTTTGATTTCCAACTGTTTACATAACTACCTGCTTTCGCAGCCTATTCCCATACTGTACTCCCTTGCTTTACACTAATCCAGACCCCTGTTGTTGTTGATGATTTCTTTCTTACTTTACCTTGTTACAATGATAAAAGGAAAGAAAACTGTTCCTTCATTCTACTGTACATCTACAGAAATGTCATTGGTTTTGTTTACAGAATTAAAAAATAGCACTTGTTAATTCCTTATAGCTTCTGTCAATGTGCCTTTTTTGCAATGGAAAGTTTTTTCCTCCTTTTCCTTTTGTCTGAGAGAAAGAGAACCATAGAGGTAAGGTTGAGAAAGAAAGAAGAGTTGGAAGGATGTATCTGGGCAGGGATTTGAGACCTGAAAATATGCCCTTCACTGAATATATTAACTTTAGAGAGCCACGGTGGCACAATGGTTAGAGTGCAGTACTGCAGGCTACTTCTGCTGCTTGCTGGCTGCCTGCAATTTGGCAGATCAAATCTCACCAGGCTCAAGGTTGACTCAGCCTTCCATCCTACCGAGGTGGGTAAAATGAGGAGCCAGATTGTTGGGGGCAATATGCTGACTCTGTAAACTGCTTAGAGAGGGCTGTAAAGTGCTGTGAAGCGGTATATAAGTCTAAATGCTATTGCTATTTATACTACAAAATCGCTGGCTCAGGTTCCAAAATCTCTGTCGGTTATTGAGCCTATCAAAATTTATTCGCCACTTCTTCTCTGCCAGTAAAAGAAGAAATGCATCAATGTAAAGAAGGGGACATAAAATAGTATAAAATTGTTTCTGTTGATTGATATGTGTAGGTGTAAATTTAGAAATACAGTATGATTTTAATAAATATTTCATTTTTATGCCATTATCTGACATTGGCCCACAATTTACTGTATATTGCTAAAAACATAAAAGCACACTCAAATGGAAAATAATTGCAATTGTAATTCAACTTTTTTCTCTTTCCTTTTCTGTTTACAATGGAAGGGAGTTAGACTAGCTCAATGGCTGGTACAAGTGTCTTCCCTTTGTGAGCTTCCCAAAGTCAGCATTTTTCAATCTCAGATAGAGCAGTTGTTATGCTAATCTAGGATCAGGGAACAATACCAGGATTAATTGTATTTAGTTTTATATTAGTAACTTTTGAGGCAGGAAGAATAATCTGGAATAGGGCAACCATCGCTATCAGTCTACATAATCCTTGGATATACAGCAATCTTTCTTTTCAGTCCAGTTCTCCAGTCGGAATTTTCATCATTGCTGGACAAATGGAAAATTCAAGCAATACTGTAGGGTTACCAGTGGTGGGATTCAAATTTTTTTACTACTGATTCTGTGGGCATGGCTTGGTGGGCGTGGCATGGCTTCGTGGACATGGTAGGGGAAGGATACTGTAAAATCTCCATTCCCACCCACTCCAGGGGAAGGTTACTCCCAATCATCTGGGACTTGGGAAACAGAGAATAGATGGGGGCAGGGGCAGTCAGAGATGGTATTTACCGATTCTCTGAACCAGTCAAAATTTCCGCTACCGGTTCTCCAGAACTGGTCAGTACCTGCTGAATACCACCTCTGAGGTATTCTGAGGATCTTGGAGCATTTCCTAAATGTACTTACATTTAATACATTTGTTTTCTTTCTCTCTATGAATGGTCTGAAGGATGTTATTGGCAGGGACCAACTGCAAATAGTTAGCCAAGTCATTTGCATTCTTTATCACTGTGTTGTAAGATATATAATTTTATATAAACCAAATTGCTTTGCTACAAAATCCAGTTTGTTGGCTTTTTTTCATATTTTGATTGTTTTACTATTGTTTTGTGGTCTTTAAAATATACTATGAATGGAGGAGAAGGAGAAGGCCAAGTGTGATTGGATCTACTACTATATCACCTTCTATGAATATCATCTACATAAGGAATATATATTTAGCATTAATTATTGGGAAGAATTACAAACTTGTTTCTTCATCTCATTAGACTATGGGTAGTTTGGGATTCTGAGATGGATGGCTGTGGTCCCGGTGTTTTCTTTGCTAGCACTAATAAAATCTTCCCAAATGCTGATCACTAGTTTTCTTCTCCTGCATGAATGAGTGCTTTTTCCCATTGGAAATAAACTTTCTCTTGTTAATTGTCTGCAGAAAGAGAGAGAAATAGGGAATCTTTTATCTTACTACTCCAGGGAATTTATTACTTCTCTCCCCCTTTTTTATATTTATTGTCCGTTTTAATCATTGTTGTACATGTCCATGGATTTTTAACAACATGTGGTTTTAAATGCTTTTAATAAATAAATTATAGGGGACCATTTCATTACTCTATTGTTCTTTCTCCAACTGTACACCAAATCATCCTTACTGTAGTCTTCTAAAAGTGATTAACCTCCCAGAAGTTAATTGCCATCTTATTTTAAATATTAAATGCTTTACTTTCCTTACATGGCTTTCCTTACATGGCTCAGTGTTGATAATTACCAAATGTAATGAAATAAATGACAGAGTAGAGAGATTACCTGTATTTCATGGTTATGTACATATGCATGTGTTTTATGAGAACATGATCCCACATATGCTTTTTAGATAGTGGTTTATCCAACTTAATAATTTTAAAGACAAGCTTATATTGTTTTGAATAAAAAAGGGCCACCTCAAATATTTAATATTTAAGTACTTGACACTATAAAAATTATTTGGTTAGCATGCATTAACTCGGTGTTAGGGAGTGTGGTAGCTCACCTAGTTAGAATGCTGCACTGACAATCAGCAAGCCTGCGTTTGATACCCAAGTACTGCTGTGTGATGGGGTGAGCTCCCATCATTCACTCCAGCTCCTACCAGTTCAAAAACATGCAAACCTGAGTAGATAAATAGGTACCACTTTGATAGGCAATTAATGGGGTCATGAAAGGAGCCCCCAACTGGACATCCCCTGGGCAATGACAATGTCATTGTTAATCCTTTCAACCTAGAAGTGCCTCATTGCTTCTGACGCAAAAAAAAAAGCAGCAAGCACCAGTGTTTTTCAACCTTGGCAGCTTAAAGAAGTGCCAGCTTCAATTCCCAGAATTCCCTAGCCAGCCTTGCTGGAAGTTGAAGTACTTCAAGTTGCCAAATTTGAGAAACATTGCCTTAACTGAATCCCTATTTCTGTAACGGCAAACCTATGGCATGCATGCCAGAGATGGCATGCAGCGCCCCTTCTGGTGTGCGCCTCCTGCTGGCCAGCTGGTCTTGGTCTCTGCTGCACATGCGTGGGTAAGAGGGATGCACACATGTGTGCACAGGTGGGGGATGTGTGGGGGGGCCACGTGCACATGCACAGAGGCAGGCCACGTGTGGGGCCATGCGTGAGGGGCCGTACACATGCATGGTAAGGGGCGCATATGTGGGGGCTGCGCTGCATGCCTGCGCATGTGCGGAGAGGGTGCATGCACAGGCGCAGAACACATGTGCGGGGGCCACAAGTGCATTGCTTTTTGGGGGTTTGTGCACTCAGTCCAGAGAAGTTAAGCCATCACTGCCCTATTTGCTCAGTGAATATTTTAAGACGTAGAGTTGCAACAGGGCCAACTTATTTGGCCTTCTGGTTTAGAGTTTGTTTCCAAAAGGGCATAAAAGACCACCCTGGGTAGCTACCAATTCTTGATCAGTCACCCCTTGTCTGAACTAAGATCTTTTATTATGCTAATTTATAATGCACCATTATGATGACTAGCAGCTGAAGGAGTTAGATTATTTGCTGATTGTTTTCATTACATTAAAAAACGAGCATGCTGTAAATTGCTTA